AATGCGGATGAGTATCTTCCCCACACAACTATTTCAGCTTTTACTAGATGACAACTGGTCATCAAATTTAATTGCTCCTTGAGGCCACACCTGAAATCTAACAGAACTCATCAGCAGTCAAGGAATCCTGTCTTCTATTCAGTAAGACAGTTAGCAGTATACCTCTTCTAGCACATTATGTAAATATAAACTAATGAGAAGAGCTTCCGGCCACTTAAGATACAACAACTAAACGCAGCTTGTGATCCTATACTGGACAAAAATACTGAAAAAAAATTAGCAAAACTGGAATGGAGTATACACTAAATCAAAGTATTATATGGTATTATGTGAATCTAATGACTATACCATGCTGGGTAAGATAAGCCTTGTTCTTAGAAGTAAACAATTAGGGTGCCTGGGTGGCTCAGTGGGTTAAGCCTCTGCCTTCGGCTCAGGTCATGGTCTCAGGGTCCTGGGATCGAGCCCCGCATCGGGCTCTCTGCTTAGCAGGGAGCTTGCTTTCCTCTCTCTCTCTGCCTGCCTCTCTGCCTTCTTGTGATCTCTCTCCCTCTGTCAAATAAATAATAAATAAAATCTTAAAAAAAAAAAAGAAGTAAACAATTAGGTATTGACAGGTTAAGGGAGCATGCTTTATGAAACCCACTCTCAAGTGATACAGGAAATATATATAGATAGAATGATGAAGCAAATGTGGTAAAATGTTAATAATTGGTGGCTCTGGGTAAGAAAGTACATGGAGTTCTTTGCACTATTATCACAACTTTTCTGTAATTCTGACACTCAAAATTAAAAGTAACATAAATAAATAAATAAAAGAACTCCCTGGATTTATTTATTTTTTTAAGTAGGCTCCACACAACTAGTGTGGAACCCAACACAGGGCTTGAACTCAAAACCCTGAGATCAGCTGAAATCAAGTCCAATGCTCAAATGAATGAGCCACACTTCCGCCCTTCAGCTGGATGTTTTAAACTTAACATCAAAATCTAAATGAAAAGGAACTGAAGAAACAATCTACATTCCATTATTATGTTTCTGAGCCAAATACAGTGGGGAACATTTTACAAAGGTTTTTCTACATAATAAAGAGAATTCGAGCTTTGAGTCAAAAAGCTGGGTTAGTAGTTCAACTCGACAATTTTGTTGCTCAGTAAGTTATTCATCTTCCTGAGTGTCAGTGTCCTCCTCTAAGAAACGGAGACAACGCTACAAATAGGATGACTGAAAAGATTAAACATGATAATATCAAATACACTTTGTGTGCACACCACTGTCCTAAGTGACAGGAGACAAATTTCTTTGGGATTCCTAGTTTCTGCATGTCTTGTAAGCAGGCATAAAATTTTTTCAAGGATGCTCATATAGCAAACAGATTTGTAAGACAGAAATAGTGTCCCAGTCTAGAGCAAAGGGAAACATGCTTACTACCCATCCTCAAAGCCTCAAGGATCCCTCTTCTATGTGACAGAGCACCTGGCCTGTGCACATATCATCTATCTGACCTTCTTCACATCACCCTGTGGTTAAAAGAGTGGCCTGGGGAACTGATAAAAGAAAATGCTGACACTCTGTCTACTACTATTGCTGTGAATAATCCTTTTCTCTCACCCAGGGAACTCACGTTTTCTGCCACCACCTATGGAACTGTGATAGACTAGTAGGGTAAAGTCACAAACCCCTCACAGTTCTTGATTCTATGCACTTTCTGTTAACATGTCATTAGATCTTATCAATAGCCCCATGAAGTTCAGCAAAACTGCATGGTACAAGTGAGATATTCCACAAACAATAGTTATTATTGTTTTCTTCATCATCATCATTAATCCTTGCAACAATCCTGTAAACTTGGACTCAATACCATTATTTTATAGCTGACGGGTTAATTAACCTGCCAAGAGTGAGTCAGTCACACAAATGGATTTCAGTCCTTTCCACTTTTTTTTATCTCACAGCTTTAAAATTATGAACTCATTTGGTGAAGCTGCAAACTTTATATTACATCACAACAGTTGACTTATTCTTTAAATATGTATAAACAGCCTTTTGTTTCAGGCACTCTGCTGGTGATAGTGAATAAAACATGCTGTCTTCATGAAGCCTGTAAAGAAAACACACCAAAACAAGGAAAATAAAACAAAATAACGAATTCCCTAATAATAATTAGCAAATGAAATAATTATTAACTCTTATAGATGCTATGATGGAAGCAAACAAGGGTCTGAGATAGAGAGCAACGGGAGGACACACCTTTCAAACTACAGGTTGTCAGTTGGGAATAAATTCAGTGAGTCCCAACCAGGATTTTCTGAAAAATGTAGTACAGAAAAGAATGCACATACATTTTAAGTACTGTTTTGTGAAACTTCCATCTAGCACAAAGGGTCATGATATAAAATCATTTCCTTTAAGGCACAGGGAATCATCTATGCAATGGGAATGGAAAGACCTTGCTTTGTTAGAAAAGCAAAATTACAGTGGGGCTAGGATCTTGCAGAAAGGAAGAATAGGGTGGTATGAATGGATGTTGGAAAGAAAGATGTTAAGGTTCTGGTATAGTTTTGCAATGCAGTTTTAAATAGTAAGTGACATGATTTTACATTTGAGAAGTCACTTTTTTTGCTATAAGGAGGATGTATTTAAAGTAGGGCAAGGATGGAAGCAGACCCATCAGAATGCTGTTATAAGCAAATGACATAGGTGATAATAGTAGCTGGGTTTGGGGTGAGGAAAGGAAAGGGCAACAGGGATGGAAAAGAATGGAAAGATTCAAGATATTATTTTGAAGATACGAGTCCAAAGGACTTGCTGAAGTGAGGCCCAAGAGGCATACTCTAAATTTCAGTCCTATCCAAATACTGTGGTTCCGTGAACATACACCACGCTCTCTCATGGGTCTGTTGTCCACACATATGATGTTCTTGGAATACCCTACCACACCCCAAGCTCTCACCCTACTACTGGTACACACTCCTATCCATCCTTCCTTCAGGACTGAGGCCCCATATTACCTTTTCCACAAAGCATTCCCTGACATTTGGAAGCTGTCTTCTCCATATTCCCTTAGCACTTCACACATTTCTAATACACTGGTTACAGACTGTATTGCAATTAACTGTTTATACATGTGCTTCCACAAGTTAGTCCAGAGCCATGCCAGGACAGAAGCCATATTCTACTCACTTTAAACCTTGGGACTGATGATAGTGCTTAGAAAAATGTAGATTCATTGTAAAAATTTGCTGAGTGAATGTGCCATGTCATGTAATACATTCCTTCACTCCTAAACTAGCAAACGATCCTTATTCATAAAGATATGTATTGTACATATTTTTATTTAACTTCATTTCAGGTCATCCTTCAATGACTCCATGTTTGGAGAAATATGTATTTGCTTAGTTTATGTTGCCAGAGAAATCTATTATATTCTGTTTAATGATCAGATTGTGCTTCTTGTCTTCATAAACTGATAGCACAACATACAGGAAAGGGCTGATTTTGAAGTTAGACCCCTGTTCATAAACCATCTCTTCAATTTACTGACCATGACCTAGCCTTGGGTAGGTTTTTAATCTCTGGATCTCAGTCTGTTCAACTGTATAAGGTTAATACTTCTATGTCATAGGGTCATCATGGGGCTTAAATGTGAATGTAAAGCAACTAGCACAAATACACACTACATACCAGTTCCTGTTTCTCCAACTTAACTTCTTTACAAGGAAGAATACAGCCTTTGCAAAACTAAACACAAAATGTTTCTGGTCCTGGCATTATTTTGACCTATAGGGTGAGAAAGGAAACCATCTTACCTCTCCCCCTCCAAACACAGCTGGACACTGAGGTCCAAAACTACCTACTCTGGATATATCCTACTGTCTACATTAGAATGACTTTACTGTTTCTTGGTCTTGATTGTAACTCCTGCCCAGACAAATAGCTTGATTATTCATTACAGAACTTGCTGAAAAACCAATTCTTCAAGAAAAAGCACCAGCAGTTTTGTACCCTAAGATTCTTTGCACTCCCTTGCCTTCTGTGAAGATCAGTATGTAATCAAGCCATCGCCTCCACTCCCCTGCCCTCTCACCCTGGGCCACTGGAAGACCAGCCTTAAACCATACTTCAGATTCTCAAGAAAAATCTGATCTTGACTTCCCAGAAATTACCACACTCTGTTGAAGTATTCTTTCTTACCCCAGTAAACCATAAACTCAGCTTTGTCCTATCAGAAGGTCCTGGGTGGTATCTGAGAAGCCGGCATTGGATGGGGCAATACGACTATAAGCACAAAGACACGTTAGAGGAATTTTCCCACGGAAGTCCAGAAATACTATAAAAATGAGCTGAGGGAAATTATATACCAGGCAGAATACGTCCACTAATATGTCCATTAATAAAAAAGGAAATGGGTTTGTCAATAGAAAGTTTCTGTGCAAAATTCCAAAAGGGGCCGATGAATTTCAAAAATTGTTTTTGCTGAAATCTAATGTTGACGTGTTTTATTCCTTTTATTACAGAGCTGTTCACATAGAGGACTCTGAATCAAGAAAAACAGCCTCTCACGTTGCCTTTGGAGTTACTAAAAAGAATGCTAGGACAGACGACCAAAATGACTGCAAGACAAATGACCAGTTTTTAAATGAGATCCTTTCGAATGAAGATTCAGATCCATTAGCAATTTCACTAATTGTAAGGAACACTAATTTCTAAAGGATTCTAACCATGGCCCAATGACTTTCCACTAGGGTCAAGCTTATAAATCTCTGAGGTGGAAAGGACTGAGGAAAGCAACATCTGCTTTTCAGGATTTACTTTTCACCTTGAAAAACAGATTTGGGTTGCATGGCTGACCCCCCACCTGGTCTGCCTCCACAGCTCGAGCAGCTCCAGAGAAGAGGGAGAAGGCGACCGAAACAGGGTTTTCGTGGAATCCCCCTCTCGCTGACTGAGGGCTGACCCGGGGTGGGGGTTCCGCTCCTTCTGCCAGTTCCCGGCCGTACCTGACAGGCGATGGACCTGCGGAAGCCACAAGCCATGACCGCCTCCACGAAACTCGCATCAACCTCCTGGCCCAATCCTCGCCCCGCCCTCCTCTGTACGCCCCGCCTATGCGCGCCGGAAGCTCACGAGGAGGATTCTGCCAACCAATCAGGAAGCCGCGTGGCCCGCCACTAACCTCTGCCCTGCTGCCGCAAGGGAGCGCGGGAAATCCTGAGTGCAGCTGCAAATCCCGCGGGCCGCTAGGACCATGGCCACCTCTTCGGTGTCCAAGGTACGTGGGGAGGAGGTACGCCCACTAGACTCGGCCCTCGCCTCTTTCTCTTTTGGAAAAGGGATGTAGCAGAGGTTACGTAGGCCTCAGTGAACAGGCTTAAGGGGAGAGAGTGGCGGGCTGAGCCGAAGCGTCCTTACTCTAGATGCAGTTGAGGTCAGTTTTGCTCGGGGAGCGAAGACACCGACCAGCCTTAGTTGTTTTGGCCGGGAGGACTTTTAAGTTCTGGTTTGTGGAGGTCGAATCCCCCGAGGATGTGCCCCCCTGTCCCTTCCTTTTTCTTTCTTATAAATGTGCAGCAAGCATTCCATTAGGTACGAGATAGAGTGGTAAACAAAATAGACTGCGCTCAAAAAAGACATTAAACACAGATGAGCTGATGATAACAAATTGTGGTTAAGTGTTAGCAGAATGCCTGGGGTCTGGGAAAGCCTTTTGGAGAAAGGGACATTTTAGCTGAGACCTGAAAAAAGTAGCAGTTCGGCAAAGGATTGGGGGTAGGGAGACTGTTCTAGCATAGGGAATGACATGTTCTTTGGCCCAGAGGATAGAAATAAGATGACCTATCAAAGAAGTTGAAATATTAGTATAATCAGAGAGGAAACCTTGTGAAAAATGAGAATGAAAAAGTTGTGTGTGTGTGTGTGTGTGTGTGTGTGTGGGAGGAGACCACATAGACCTCATATGGGCTACCTTACATGGTCAGGGCTTTCAGGAAGACGTGATAGTGTGGTTGGTAAGAAGATAAATTGTCTAATATAAGTAGCCAGTAGCCACATGTGGCTATTTCAGTTTTAATTAAAATTAAATAAGAAATTCATATTCTCAGTTTTACTAGCCAGATTTCAAGTGCTCAGTAACCACATGTGGTGGTGACTACCATATTAGTGCAGAGACATGATATTTCTCCTTCATTACCAAAAGTTCAGTTGTACAGCACTGCTACAGACCCAAGTAAGACCGTTAGTAATACTGTGAGTGCAGCCAGGAGCTGCTGAAGTCAAGCTGTGATAAAGTTGAGAATGTAGATGAAAAAACTACAAACTCATTTCTCCTTACGTTAAAACAGTAGATTAGAGGGCTCTGCCATGGATATGATCTTTAATTCTGATTAAAATTAAACTAGAATTATGGGAAAGTGTGCCTTCTGAGACTAGTATCAAAGGGGAACTTAAAGCTATAGAGCTTAAGTCTATAGTATATTGACTATGATGCTAGGTGCAAATGCCAGAAGAGGTTTAACTGTGCTTGTGTAACCTGGTTACAGGGGTGAAAGAGCACCTGACTCCAGGGTCCCAAACAGACCACCTTCAGCCCCTCGCTACCGACAAAATCCTAAATCGGAGAAATGAGTGGTAGGGAAACTAGAAAGGAATGGGGTGGAGGACCACCCCGCTCTAGACGTGCTGGGGCGGGGCGGGGGTGCTTTATGATAATCACCTGTGACCAACAAATAATAACCAACCCCTAAAAAGAAATAAGCCATTGATGGTGTTACCAGTAGAGATTTTAAAAAGATTTATGTTCCCTGGTTAGCTTTCTATGAAAGACCAACCCTAAAGGTCCTTGTTGGCAACCCTATTGGTACCCCTCTCACTCTTGGGAGATTTTTCTGTGTCTTTACTTAATAAAGTTCTATCACTTCACTCACCAAAAAAAAAGAAAGAAAAAGAAAGAAAGCGGAATTTGTTTCAGTGAGGCCAGCACTGAGAATTCTGACAGCAGCCTAGAGTCTCAAAGATGGTCTGCAAAGTGCTGAAAATATTTCCAGGTTTATGTGAGAAAGGTGTAGGACAAAGGAGGGCAGTAGAGGTCAGGTTGATCTTTGTCTTGGAGTCAGTCGTGGGCGGGGTCTTGCTGTCTCAGGACAGACCTTATTGATTGAGTGGTTAGTTTCCATTACCATCAGGAGAAGCTGTGCCCACTGGAACTTTTGCCTGAGTTAAGAGATCAGCTGGATGGGGTGCCTAGGTGGCTCAGATGGTTAGCCACCTACCTGCCTTTGGCTCAGGTCATGGTCTCCAGGTCCTGGAATTGACCCCTATGTCAGGCTCCCTGACAGGGTCTGCTTCTCTCTCTCTCCCACCCCCCCTCCTTGTGTTCTCTCTCTCAAATGAATAAATAAAATCTTAAAAAAAAAAGATAAGCTATAAAGAAGAACTTAATTATTGGAGAGTTTTAGGTCAAAATGAAGGTAGTTGCAGTTCTCTTACACTAGTATTTTTTATTAGGAATGGTACTGTTTCTGTTTTGTGCTGGTTGTAAAGTTCCATAGGTTTTGATGAGAGGTCTGCTGTCTAATCCTTTTCATTGCATAAGGCTCATATTTTTGTATATCTTGCAAGAATTGTGAGATATTGTTCAGGAAAGCATTTATGGCATTATAATAGAAATGCTTGTATTGAGATGATTATGAAGGGGAACTTGTATCAGTAAGATTCTTTAAGGACTATTTCAGGAGCTCATAGAACTGCTAGCTTTTTTTTTTTTTTTAACCTATCTAAACTTCCTTTTCCTTGTCATATTTTCTACCTGTTAGCTCTCCTCCTAGAATGCTTCTCTCTCAAATACCATCATTTTGATCAGCAGTTCAAAGTGGTTAACCATATTACTACCTGCCATACCTTAGGATCTATTCTGGGCCCTTGTATATCTCACTCCTTCTTAGCTCCTTTTCCTTTATGAATTGCAGGTGGATATAGAAGGGAGTCAATGACAAGCTTGTTGTGGTACTACAAGATTTTTCTAAATGTGAATGGGTATTTCAATAGTTCACTCGTTGCAGATGCAAGAGTATAAGGCACAGAACTTATTTTGGATCCTGTTATCCAAATGGCCACTTTATATTTGCCTAGCTTTCTTTAGCACTGTCCTGAGATGACTTTTTCTAGGTATATTTTTTTCATTCTTTCTTTCATTTTCCATAAAAATGGTAGTCTTTAAGAAGCCATACATGGTGCATGGTTTTAGGATTGGTAGAATAAATGTAGGACCAGTAGCTTGGGGGCTATGTATCACTAGCCAAATAATAACATGAAGCTAAATGTAGCTAGGAGATTACCAGGAAAATTACTTGGCAAGCATTCATTCCATATACTGATTGCCTAATATATATGCTAATGCCTGTCCTAGACAGTGAGGAAATAATTATGGATTATATGCAGCCTGTGCTCTGAAGGCACTCACAAACTACTTGGTGAGACAGACCCTTAAATAACTGTGATATACAGTGAAAGTGATTTAAAACAAAACAAAATAAAGGCCTTTAAGTGTTGTGAGATCTTAGGGAAAGGAATAATTCTAACTAGAGAACTGAGGAAGGTTTCCCAGCGCAGATGAATAAGACTTATCAGATAAAGAAGGTATATAAGATGAAACAATAGCCAAATTATCTATGTCCTGACCACGTTATGGATACTTGAAGTTTAATTAAATACTTCTTTTGAGAGAGTGTTATTCGTTTTAATAGTACTTATGTTCTTCCTTCTCTGGGTTTTATAAAAATGGAACCTTTCTGGGTTTAAATTTCATCAGTTTATATTTTCTTTGTCATTTAGATTAGCTCCCTGAGAGTAAAATCGAAGATGAGCATCCCATGGGAAGGAGGAGAAAGAAATGGATAGTCCCCTTATTTAGAATTTTCTTGCTAGGGGCACCTGGGTGACTCAGTGGGTTAAGCCTCTAATTCTTGATTTCAGCTCAGGTCATAATCTCAGGGTCCTGGGATTGAGCCCCTCTTTCCGGTCTCCACTCAGCAGGGAGCTGCTTGGGATTCTCTCTGGCTCTCCCTCTGCTCCTCCGCACTGCTTCTGCACTCATACACGCTCCACAAAGAAACAAATAAATAAATCTTTTTTTTTAATTAAATTTTATTTTTTATAAACATATAATATATTTTTATCCCCAGGGGTACAGGTCTGTGAATCGCCAGGTTTACACACTTCACAGCACTCACCATAGCACACACCCTCCCCAATGTCCATAACCCCACCCCCCTCTCCAAACCCCCCTCCCCCCATCAACCCTCAGTTTGTTTTGTGAGATTAAGAGTCACTTATGGTTTGTCTCCCTCCCAATCCCATCTTGTTTCAACAAATAAATAAATCTTTTTAAAAAAAGAATTTTCCTGCTGTAATTCAGATAAAAGAGAATTTCTCAGCACTTTAAAGAAATGCCTTTTTAAAAAAATCTGCTTATCCATAAAATATTTGGTTAATTGGATTTATCTGTTCCTTGGATACTTTGACTTTATGCTTTTTTCTTCCTTTCTTTTATTTTTTTAAGGGCTGCTTTGTGTTTAAGCCAAACTTCAAGAAGAGAAAGATCTCTGTGCCAGTAGGTAAGATGTCTTAATATCGAATTGGCTAATTTTCCTCCCCTAAGTCTTAAATTTACCTAACCCTAGTTAAATTAGTAATTCTCTTGTCTAAATTTGACTGACTTACCTTCTTGATGTAACAGTTGTGTTCCAAGGTGTAGTGAAAGGGATAAGGTACATCCCAGACTTTCAGTCTAAAAGGGAATCCAAATATACCTTCAAAGGGCAAATTAGAGAGTAGATTTTCTTCAAAGGATATGTCCCTGTTTTTCAAAAGAGTTTGATTGTCTTAGGGGTGCCTGGATGGTCAGATGGTAAAGTGTGTGACCCTTGATCTCCAGGTTGTGAGTTTAAGCCCCACGTTCCACATTCGGCATAGAGCTTACTTAAAAACGTATATAAATAAAATAAAGTAATAAGGTTAACTCAGAAGGAAATTTAAAAAACAGAGAGAGACAGTCTTAAAAATGTCAGTGATTTCCTGGAGTG